ACACGACTCGCTGCTGTATTCTAAGAGGAACTTAAGTTGTTACGATGCTTTTAGCCTTTAACAGGAATTTTTCTGATAATCCATGCACGTTACCTTCACTGGACATTTTTATTTTTCAGGCCTAACTTTTACCGCAGCGCAGATGCAGATGCAGCTACAGAGGGGGAACCCTCAGTACACCAGATACAAGAAATGGCCACAGTTACAGATGAAGCTGTTCTTCGGTGTGCAGCAGACACCGCCCGACCTCACAGCCCTTCATCAACCAGCAGTAACTGCCCGGAGCCAGTTTGTTATTCAGTGGAAGCCATGCTTGGACCTCAGCTGTACAGGTCTTTCCCTAGCTTCTATAATACTCCTGAAAGCAAAGAATCTACTACCTCTTCTGCCGCAGAGACCACCTCCGAGGCCACTTTAGGCTCCACGACACAAAAGGAAGTTCCCTATTCTGTTGATGCTGTCCTCAGGTCCTTAAAATCAGTGGAAAATTACACCCTTGGTCAAAGGCTCACTGCTTCAAGTGTAAAAACTGAGGAAATCCAGGATCCTCTCTTAAGTTCACAACATCAAGTACAAAAAGTCTCACTGAGTATCAAACATGAGCCAAACAAACCCTTCAAGAAAATGTACAAGAGCCTGTCTTCCCTACAAGTGCACGACAGCCTGATTTCTAGCTCTGATCTTATTCTTTCCTCTGGTACTCAGCAATGTGGAGCTATACCAGAGTCCCTGAAATCTGCTGAAATGGCTTTTCATGAAGTTAAACTGGAGCGTTTGCATCCTCCTGTTATAGATGAAGATAATCCTGCATCTTCCAAAAGCAAATCGGACATGAATGAAAGCTCACAGCTTCCTACAGATAACACCCGTCCTCCTAAACATCTCTCGGGTATTTCTACCTCTTCAGGCGTCTCAGAGTTTAAAAGCAGAACTTCTGCTCCTGTTGAACCTGCAGATGGCTCCATTAAGACGAGTGACTCTGCAAACATTGCCGTTCACCATTTTGCAGCAAAGCAGCTTGCTGAGATCCCTTGGTACCCAAGAAAGACCAAATCTGTCTTCCAACCCGGTGCACAGAAACGCTGTTCTGCTAAAATGTCACCGGAGTGCAGCGGGGAGACTCCAACTCTGTCCGATTGTTCAGCTGGACGTAAAAAGACTCAGAAGATCCCCTTCAGTTGTCTTTTTAAAAACCCAATCGCTGAGAGCGTGACACCGACACCTGACCCAGTGAGAGCCTCACAGTCTGCACATTTCACCAGCAAAGAAGGACATTTAAAAACTGAAGTCAAACCTGAGAAAACCTCTGCTGCTTCCTTCCTCAGCCTTTTTGCAAACCCCCTCTCTGAGACTTTGAGTTTGCCTCCCTGCAGTCCGGCGTCAGCTGAAAGTCCTTTTCAAAGCGTTTCTAATGTAGAGTTGGCTCCTTCGTGTGAGGTCCAAACTGATGTCAAACAAAGTCCTGATAGTTGCTCCACAACCTCTGAAGCTGAGTCTGATCCTGTGAAGCAGCCAGCAGATCCAGCTTGCAGCATCGTGCAGGATTCAATCAAGGAGACTTCCTCCAGTCCAGCTCCGGGTGGTCCGAATCCATCTGAAACTCCGGCACAGCAGCAACTGACTCACGTCTCATCGCCCACAAGTAAGGATGCGATCCACACGTACAAAAATGTCTAATGTCCATTTGTGTGTCTGAAATGTGCTCTTAACGTCTGCCATAGGGGCGCCTAAGGATTCAGTCCTGAAATCCCTGTTTGTGAGCCTGAGCCCATACCAGGAGGATGGAGAGCAGCGGGGCGGCATTCAGATCAGTGGTGCGCCGTTTATTCACGCCCCCTAAAAACATTAAATACTTTAAATAAAATTTTAGTGGAATGAAACAGAAATCTGTTTTTTTTGTTGTTTTTTTTGTTTTTTTAAATTTCAGAACTAGAAATGAACAACAAAGGTCGCGTCGGGCACACTTTTGGAAAACAACAGCACGAAGAAAAGAAGCATCGGGTATGTGAATGCATGTTTAACATAAAACAGTTTAGGTTTAGGCCACGCCCCCAAACTGAGCAGAAAGAAGAAGAAGAAGCAGAAAGAATCTGCTGTTTTCAAAGAATCACGGTCAGTTCAAACTGTACTTCTTTATCTGCAAGACTGTTAGTGTGGAAGAGAAGTAGATGCTCTCTTCAGCCTCATCAGCCTCCACAGGCAGTAATTCTTTACATCGACAAGGTTCCCGAGAGTTCTTCAAACGTTTTAAAGCCTGAAAAATCAACAAAATTAAGAGCATAAAATGACTTAAATTTCCCATAAATTTGATGAAAGACTATAGAAAATGCAGCTTTTAACTTAAGTTTTGTTACTGCTCACATTTATTGTCTGTTTATTTTCAGTGGTGATTGTACACATTTATCTGTTTTAAGATTTAGGTACGTATGCATTAAGCTAATCGAATAATTGGAGAGAAAAATACAAAATAAAAATGTGACAAATTGGTCACAATGGGCTGGCACGGCTGCAGGGCCAACTGTTCAAAATCCAAAAAGGTTTCACCTTTCAGATTATTGTTCATCGGCAGTCAAATATAATACTGCATTTCAGCATTGTTTGGTTAGTATTTAGTTAGTATTTTTCAAATGGTGAGGGGCCCTGTTTGGAGTTGGTGGTGTAATCCGGTCTTGGTTTGTTAGTTACTGCTGTAAAAAAGCAGTTTGGCCTCTGAAGTCTGTTTATTTCAGCGGTTTAGTGTTCGTGTGAGAGTTTTTACACAGACACTGATCAGAGATGATTTACACCTGAATATTGTGAGTTTTTCTATTTATTTCTTTGTGCTCTGCTCCTCAGACGTCCAGCAGTCGGCCCACCGTGAAGGCGTCTGCACGCTCAACAGACGACCAGCTTTCTTTTCAAACTCCTCAGAACTCCTCAGAGGTAACAGCAGGGCCGACCCTCAGCAGTCCAGGTGTGACCGAACCTCAGGTTAGAAACTCTGGCACGTACAAGCTGCCACTGGAACCAGCAACACCGGAGATCAACCACCACACCGACCCGAGAGAGATGCACTGCTCTAGGAAAGAAAAGAGGGGGCGTGGGAGGGTGGGAGTGACTCCACTGAAGGACCTTTTTAAGACTCTGGACAGCGCTGTTTTCCACCTGGGACGTTAACGTTGGGTTTCCTCTGTTAGATGCAATCATAGCGAAAATCATACTAGTGATGGGACTGTGAGTGTGCACTAAACCTGCACGTTTGCTTGTTCATCCATGCATCACCAAAGTTTTGACTAAATCACATCGGTGCATCAAACCAGATTACCAGTGTTTGCACAGTCCTGTCAGTCTTTTGGGTTTTTTTGAAAATGACACTAAAGCTGACACTTTTTTCCTGCAGTGCTTTTTTTATTTTTTGCTTTGTGATCAGTCATGTAACTGTGTTCAGCATCTGACACATTTAAGTAAATCCTGTGTTTTAACAGGCTCATTGTGTGTTATTTTCTTTCAACATTTTTATACATTCCTGTGACTTAAATTTAGCTCACTGTAGAGAGTTTTTATTAAAAACATGTTTATTTTAATTAAATAACCCCAAACACTCATTTGTGCCTCAAACGTTTTGGTAAAGGTGTAAAATCTTCTACTTTGATACTGTAAGTAAACTTTATGCATATATTCCAAATTGTCTGATGTTTAGCATTTGTTGTTTCCATTTTCAGTGAATATTTGCCAGTTTTTTAAAAGTTTTTTTCACAAATAAAATGTTGACAGCATTAGTTCAGGTCATGATTCAGGAAGCGTAAAAAAGAGATGAACATCTATGCAACTAAGTGCATAGTTAAATGAAAAAACATACATAAAACACGTGTTCATATGGGTATTCTTGGTGGAAGACATTTTTCTTCCTTCTGGAGGATTCTTCATTCAATCTTAACGATCGTTGCAGGTAAAATAAATAAAATGAAGCTCATTAATCTTTAAACCCAGCTTGTCATCCAGTACTGAAGATAGCCAAGTGGAACAGGAGCATGACTAACACCAGGGTGGCGGTGGATCAAATCTGGGTGCTGATTATCAAAGGAGACAACCACATGTGCTTCTACAACACAAACATGGGGAACAAGTCTGAATAAAATTATTATAAAAGGTAAAATTTAAAGGAATAAATAAAAGGTACAAACAAATTCCCAAGATGGAAGTAAAAAAAGGTAAATGGGAAATAAGATAGATAAAGATAAGGGTGGAAAAATAAGAACGAACAAAACAAAATGAAAAATCCTCAAGGTAAGTGTAACATTTTATTTAGTGCACAAACAGTTTTTCCTTTTTTTATATTGAGAGGCAGGAACTGACACGTTTATGCTTTAGAGTTCAGATTTTCAGCGACAGTAGCTGACTGTGGCCACAAGATGACAGTAATGTTAATGCATAGAAACGGGCCAGGAGCTTAGTGACAGTGCTGTGTGATGTGACAGGCTTTGATATGTTTTATTTTATTGTTTTTGGATTTGACAAGACAAACGTTTAAACACATCAGCAGAGTGTCTCTGTGAAACAACGATAGATTCTGGTTAACTGAAGGCCCAGGCTGCTGATAGCTTCTCATGATGTTTCTTCCTCACTCTCTGTGTGTTTACACACCTCTCAGCTTTTAATTATGAGTCATTATTAATCTCCGGCTCTCTTCCACAGCACGTCTTTTGTCCTTCCCTCCTTCCCTCACCCACAGCTGGTCACAGCAGCTGGCTGCCCCTCCCTGAGCCTGGTTATGCTGGAGGCTTCTTCCTGTTGAAGGAGAGCTTTTCCTTCCAACTGTTGCCATGTGCTTGTTAATGGGGGGTAGTTTTTATTGTTGGGGTTTTCTCTGCATTCATCTCTATTTTGTCTTTGTGGGCTTTAGGTGACTGTTGCTGTGATTATGTGGGGTGTAAATAAAACAAAACTGAATCTAAATTAAATAACTAAAAATTAGGAAAGAACGAATTGAAAAGTTTTAAAGACAAAGTTATTTCTCATTGTTTTCATCAATAAGTCTTTTATTAATTACTCCATGATAATAACATGTTTTTTACTTGCTAAAGATCAGAAATACGTTCTTGAACAGTTCAGCTCTCACTTCTTCTTCTGCATTATTTTTAAATGGGAATCTGTAAAAAGTAAAAGAAAAAACAAAACAGGTCAAACTTAAACCGCAGGTCAGAAAAAAGCTTCAAACCTCATATTAAATCCTACTAAATACTCTTGGTAAATATAATAGGACATGACTATAGCTGTATCTTTGGTTGTATACAATAAGCATGTAAATACAGACTGTACGGGCGACTGAACTTACCTCAAGGACAGCCTCTCTTTCAGAGTCCACGCTCAGGACGGCGCTCGCGCTCTCGCTGTCAGGTTGAAGGAAGTTAAGTCCGATCCTGAGAGGTGTTGATGTGTCATCCACATAGTTCTGTAAGAAACAAAGTAGTGGCATCATCATTTCAAAACCGCGGTAAAGTGAGCCGTCATTTGTGAGCCGCGGTCAAGCCAGCCGCCTCCTATCCGCCGCATAAATTTCCTTGCGCTTTTACACCAGTCTTTACGGTAGCGCCTTTTCGCTTTATATCCTGATTGAAAGCCTAGACTCGAACAGTCACACGCACACGCGCGCACACAAATTACAATGGAACAGCCCAATGCAGCCATCGTGACAGTCTGGTTGCATATTCAAAAATTCATTAAAAATCATTCTTAAAAGTTGATGCCAAGCTTTCAACACAATCCTCTTCTCGGACACCTACTTTACCTCTGGGCCAGGTTTTACCCAGATTTACTGTAATATTCCTCAGAAATTAATGGAAACATTTATTCAATCTAATACAGTCAGTACAATAGAATTATGTCAATTTTCAAAAATTCATCAAAAATAATCCTGAGTAGTTGAGGTCCAATTTTCAACACATCCCTCCTCTAGGACACCTACTGTACCTGTGTGCCAAGTTCCATCCAGATTCACTGTAATATTCCTCAGAAATTAATGGAAACTTGTATTCAATCTAATACAGTCAATACAATAGAATTATGTCAATATTCAAAAATTCATTAAAAATCATCCATAGTAGTTGAGGTCCAACTTTCAACAGATTCCTTCTCCGGGACACCTACTGTACCTGTGTGCCAAGTTTCAGCCAGATTCACTGTAATATTCCACAGAAATTACAGGAAACTTTTATTCAATTTCACCGTCAAATTAATAAAGCTTCTCCGATTCTGATTTTGCTGTACATATGTAGGTTATGTATTTCAGAAATGTAAATAGAGCTTGTTCGTTTAGATTTTGTATTGCATTCTTTTTCATTTTAATACCTTTTCTAAAAAATTACACTAAGTTTAGAAAATAATGTGATTCTCGCAGTTTGGGTTTGTGACCCAACCCTTTTTGCATTAGTTTTGGTATTTGTTGATTAAGATTACTATTGATCAATGTATGTAATTCTTGTTTTTGCTGTTATTAGTTAGTACTTTTAATTTGGCGATACTTTGTTACGTTCTTCTAATTCTCCCTGACAGCTCATAGTTGCTCAGTCTTTACTGCTTTGTTTAAATAGATCTTTTCGTGTCACCTACCATTACAATTCATTCCAATCGCCCTTGTTTGTTAATGTGAGGTATACATTCGTCATGTTTCCTGTTTTAAGAGTCTGTTTTCCTTTCTCATGTTCAAGTCTTGGGTGTACCCCTTCATATTTTATGTCATACTGCTGGTCGCCATCATGTTCAGGTCTGTAGTAGTGTTGACATAGTCACAGTAATATTAATAACAGTCGTATTTTAGTCTCGCCCATTTCAGGATTAATTACAGTTATTGTAACCTATTGCTTTTGCCTTGTTGTATGTTCAAGTTTCTTCCATCAGCCACAATAAAGGGCTCTCTTTTAGTTCATCACAGTTTTGTTGTCCTCTATGTCCTGCTTTTTAGTCTGCTTTTAAATTACATCATCTCACCCGCTGTATAGTAAGTAAAACATATTCCATTCTAAACCTTGCGGTAATCTTTAAGAACATATTTTTAAAAATTGAAACAAATTGAAAAATATTTTTTCAGAAGACTATTTGTAGTGGATTCATCTTATCAATGAAGTAGAGTTTCTGAGCAAATATAGATGTCTATGTTGTTGTTGGACCTCAACTACTCAGGATGATTTTTAATGAATTTCTGAAATTTCCATAATTGTATTGACTGTATTGGGCTGTTCCATTGTAATTTGTGTGCGCACGTGCGCGTGGGATATAAAGCGAAAAGGCGCTACCGTAAAGACTGGTGTAAAAGCGCAAGGAAATTTATGCGGCGGATAGGAGGCGGCTGGCTTGACCGCGGCTCACAAATGACAGCTCACTTTACCGCGGTATTTCAAAGCCTAAAAATACTACGATGGTAACAAACTCAAGCACTGTTATTTGATAAGTCTTAGAGTCAGTAGCGAACTGGTGCGCCTGCTGCTTGCGGCACAGGGAGGAGAGGGCGGGGCGGCGGGGGATTCTCTGGCTGGCCGGAGCAGCATCTAATAACCAACTCGCAAAATCAAACATAATAGAAACAAACCAACAAAAACGAAAACACCAGACATCATGATACAGACTTATAATTTGCACCGATGCCATCCATCCATCTTCATCCGCTTTATCCGGGGGCGGGTCGAGGGGGCAGCAGCCTAAGCAGAGACCTCCAGCTTATCCGGGGGAACACCAAGGCGTTCCAGGCCAGCCGAGAGATATAATCTCTCCAGCGTTTCCTGGGTCTGCCCCGCGGCCTCCTCCCGGTGGGACATGCCTGGAACACCTCACCCAGGAGGCGCCCAGGGGGCATCCTTGTCAGATGCCTGAACCACCTCAGCTGACTCCTTTCGATGTGGAGCAGCAGCGGCTCTACTCTGAGCCCCTCCCGGATGGCCGAACTTCTCACCCTATCTCTAAGGGAGAGGCCAGCCACCCTTCGGAGGAAGCTCATTTCCGCCGCTTGTATCCGAGATCTCGTTCTTTCGGTCACTACCCACAGCTCGTGGCCATAGGTGAGGGTAGGGACGTAGATCGACCGGTAAACTGAGAGCTTCGCTTTTACACTCAGCTCCCTCTTCACCACGACGGACCGGTGCAGCGTCCGCATTACTGCAGCTGCAGCACCAATCCGTCTGTCGATCTCCGGCTCCCTTCTCCCATCACTCGCGAACAAGACCCCGAGATACTTGAACTCCTCCACTTGGGGCAGGAACTCATCCCCGACCCGGAGTGGGCACTCCACCCTTTTGTGGCTGAGAACCATGGCCTCAGATTTGGAGGTGCTGATCCTCATTCCCGCTGCTTCACACTCGGCTGCGAACCGTTCCAGTGCGAGCTGGAGGCCCTCACCCGATGAAGCCAACAGAACCACATCATCCGCAAAAATCAGATGAGATTCTGAGGTGAAAGCCCTCCGCCACCTGGCTAGGACTGCCACTGCTTAGAGTAACCCTTAAAAACTAAGCATTAATACTGATGAAAATGAGTTTTTCACTTCCGTTTGCATCATTCAGGTAGATTCATTGGGATTTTTTTTATTACATTTTTTAATGTAGCTACAAATCGCCTCATCTTATCCACCTAACATTTCACACACACTGCTGCTAAATGAGCAGATTTACCCATTTTAATACCCATTTGTTTGATTTTTTAAAATTAAATTAAATTAAAAAGTACCTAAACAACATTATCCTGCTGTTGTCTGTGGTGTTTTGGTCTCTGGATACAGGATCAGGGTCTGCCTGCCCCTAGCTTATAGTTACGGTCGGATCAGGTGACCCTGAATCCTCCCTTAGTTACGCTGCAATAGGACTATGCTGCTGGGATTTTGTTCCGCAAGCACCTCTTCATTCTTCAGCACTCTGCATTTAATCATTAGTTATTATTAATCTCTGTCTGTTTTCCACAGCTTGTCCTGTCTCCCTCCCCTCACCCCCAACCAGTAACAGGAGATGTATGGCTGTCCCTCCACTGGTTGTGCCTGAGGTTTGTTCCTGTTGAAAGGGAAGTGTTGCTTTCCACTGCTGCAGAGTGCCAACTCATAGGAAGCTGCATGATTGCTGGTGTTTTCTGTAGGATCTTTATTGAGGTGATTGTGATTTGGTACAGTATAAATAAACCTGATTATTGATATTAAGGGCCATATATAATGCCTTTAATTAAGCATGTCCAAAGCTTGCAGTCAAATGATTTCCTGTGGCAAACCCTAAAGGGCGTGGCCAAAAGAAAAGGACTTGTAGACAAATCTCCGCCCACCTTTTCTCAATGGTTTAAACCCCAAGCTTGCCAGGGGCAGTCAGTCAGGTAAATGTAAAGTGTAAAATAATCATGTAAAATGTCTTTTATATGGCACCAAGCCCTTTGAGGCTCGGCTAAATTCAGAATCTTATGTGACATGTCCATAGTGCGTGCTATGGCTTAAAACAGCTCACAAAACTGGCGCTTTAAGGAAAAGTGGTGATTGAACGATGTGTTAAAGTCATCAGAGAGTGAATAAATAAACTGATGATGTTCAACATTCTTACTGCTCTGTTGATGGAGTAGCTGACGCAGGTGTTTTCATCTCTCAGCTCCAGGGTCTGACTGAACATACTTTGACTTGCTTGACTCGTCACATTAAGTGTGTATGTGATGTTCAATGCTGAGCTCACTGGCCCTGAAAAAAGTCACATTAAATAAATACACATTAATCTGAATTTTTAAAAAACAGTTTTAATGTCCCACATTTGTCCGCTCATCACGACAAACTTACCTGCTTTGCTCTTTGTTGCTTCGACCTTTTCAAAGCATGCCGTTATTTTAACCAAAGCTACATTTTTATCTGGACTCAGGGCGTCAAGGTTCTCAGGGTGAAAAGACAGACGAGCCAAGACGTTGAAGACCGGCTTGGATCTGAAAGGAAGCGAATGAACTTAAATAGATTATCGCTTCTTCTGTCGCTTAGCTTCTTTTATAGGTGCAGTGTTCATATAATATTCACCTGAATACAACAGCTGCACCACGCGATTCAACCACAACACCCGGGAGTCCATCCTCCCCGAGGTCCCCAAAGATGGCCCTTCCAAAGAATTTCAGCCCATGGTCGATATTTTTTCCCATGATTCTCTGAAATAAGAAGATATTAGAGCCGAGTCTAAATACCTCTTTCAGATGACATTACATGTCTGTGTGCTCTCATAAGTGTAAGTCTGATAATATTATCATGCTGCAGATAATTAAACTTCAATGCAAATGCACAGAGGGTTTTGAGACTGTACGAACACAACTCCATAAGCACAGACAAAAAAGAGAAAAGGCTCTGCACGTTGTTCAGTCGTTATTCTACAATATTTTGACTTGAATACATTTAGGCTGGCAGGTTGTGGAGTCTGACAGAGAAACAGAGATTCTACATGTTCTAAACCCACCATCTGAACTAGTGTTGGACGCAAAGTTCTTTGGGCAGGTTGTCATATCTTTGAAGTTATATTACAGCATTACTAAAACAATCAAGAGGCAAGCATGGAGGGGCAACAGTGTTGTGCAGATCCATCGTTTGTGCCTCAGTTCTCTGATGGTTTATAAGATTTGAAGGTTATAGAAATAATTTTCCTCCTGAATCTTTGATAATAACGTAAGTAATAAAGGTCTTTTAAAGGCTTTTTTTAAAAAAAAACATTGGCTGCTTTTTAATTCATTTTCGGTCCAGTTCTTGTACCTGATCATTTTTTTCATTTTTAAAACCACTTAACACTGACCTGTGAATCATTAAAGCATAAACAAAACTCAAAGACTGAAATTATCTAAATTGTTCTTCTAATTCAATTTCTTTTGACACGTGTCGTTTGATTTTTTTTTAGAGTTGCAGGAAATTCCACACAATATTTTCAGTGGAATCTTCAAAAATATCAAAGATAACAGAGTTGGACAGAAAAAATATCATTTCTTTTGAACCAACACAGTGGAGGCTCTGTTATGGTTCGGGGCTGTCGTTAAATGGCCAGTCGGGTTCACGATTTGTCACAATTTACAGAATTATGAACACGGAAGAGTACAGTCAGATTTTGATCCACCTGGAAAGCGCCTGATTGCCGATGGCTACATTTTTTTTTAGCATCACAATGATCTCAAACACGCTGCCAACACAGTAAAAGTATACCTTTACAAAAAAGCACACAGTGGAACACTAACAGTCATCGACTGGTTTCCCCAGAGCCTGGACCTCAACGTTACTGAAGCAGTGTGGGATCATCTTTATAGAGAACAAAAGGCAGCCAACATCCAAAGAGAAGCTTTGAATGTCCTTTAAGGAACTAATCCTGAAGACTACCAATTGCAAGAAAGAAATGACCTGCCTAAGAGAGTTCGGGCTGTGTAAAAGAATAGAGGCAGTCCAAAGCTTGTTATAACTGTACAAACTCTATTTTTGCCTCTTATATCATATTTCCATGTATTTTGCACATGTTTGCAAGAAATCACTACACCTACTTAGCATTTTAAAAGCAGAATATAAAGACATGACAGGTGGCTCAAGACCTTTGCACAGTAGTATTGCTGGTGTCACCTGGCTGAAAGTGCTGACTATCCCTCTCTGCCTGTTGCCATGGTAGATATACACAGCCCCGCTCTTATCATCCTCAAGCGGAGCTCCGACAGCTACGTCTCGGAGTCCATCTCCATTCAGGTCTGGAAGACTGGATATGGTGGTGCCAAATCTACCCATAGATGGTCCCGTCACATCCTGGTTACTTTCCAGTACAGTCTAATAGGAAACGAGGATGTTAATAATGGACTATGAAAACACATGCATTTATTTTATCAGCTTTAAAGCTCACAGTGTCACACTGGATCTTAGTTTTTATTATAGCTCACCTCATCGCTCACAGAGTAGATGTAGACCCGGCCTTCTTTCTTCACCTGAGGCAGATGAAACTGTGGAGCTCCAACCAGCAGGAAGTCAGTGCTCCCATCTGAATCAACATCTAATGAGCACAGCTCAGCACCGAAGTAGGAACCAATCTAAAAATGTTTTGAGTGTAAAGGATGATTTAGAAAGTCAAAACCAAACCCAAAGACACAGCTTCAAAGTAGTACAGTTATTAAGAGCTGTCCTCTTAATATGACACAAAATCCAAACTTTTACAAAAGTTTTGGCACAAATATTTCCATGCTTTAGCTCAAATCTGAATATTTTTTAAAAATCACAATATTTCCATAGTTACCAACCTGTTCTCCACGAATTTTCTGCACTTCTGTCCAGTATATGCAGTGGTGTCTGAAAACGATCTGTCCTGTTTGCTCAAACTCTGGTAAACCCACGAAATACAAAGGAACACCGTTTTTCTTTCCAATGGAAATGGAATTTCCTGCAACAGCCAAATAATAATCTGCTAAATGTTCACTCTGGATCTCATATGTGCTACACTATGGTATCTCAAGTCATAGAAAAGTAATCTTATTAAAGTAGCAGGTATCATATAGATAGTAGGTAATAATAAAAAAAAAAGAAATGGGTTTACCCAGGTAACCCTGCATTTGTTCTTGAGGTCTATGGAGAAAACTACGCCAGCTGTTCGATCCCACAGAACCCACGATCAGGCTATCCTGCTCACAGAAACATCTGATTACAGTTCAGGCTGAACAGAGACAGAGAGGAACTGAGATACCAGTAACAGTGATGAGGTAATGTCACAAATCAGTCATGAATTAAAATAAGAACGCTTACAAAAAAGCAAAGCTCAGCTAAAAAGGAGATTTTGAGCTGCCTCGTTCACATTAAGTGATAGGAACTGTAGGAAAATGATGTTTTTCCACTATCACTTAAAGCACACTACTAAGGCTAGGCTTGGTTATAATCTGAAGCAGAGAAATTGCATTTATAGTCTCATTCATGGGTTTAATGATCCACTGTAATTATTATTTTAATTAATAATCGACATTCTGTAGTTGTATTGACGGACAGTTTAAAATATATTATTAGAGTTTCTTCAAACTGTTTTCACATTTTGAGTTTAATATACATTTTGGATTTTTTGGGGAAAGTAAAGCTTTTATGGTTTGTTTTCTTTGCTGTACATAAAATGCATCCGATCACTCCAAAAAAACAGCAGCATACTTATTTTTCTGTATTTCAATAACTACAGTGGAGATGCAACTCATGTTGCTGATGCTGTGGAAAATGTAATTAACAACAGAATTTTGCAGTTATTTGCATTACATTACACATTGTTTTATTCACAAGAGAATATAGGAAACATATCAAATTTTTGAACAGAATCGGCTGTGAAGTTGGTCCTGTCTTCTAAGGAGCTGTCTTCTTGTAGTCGACTACAAGAAGACAGCTCCTTGGAGGACAGGACCAACTTCACAGCCGATCAGATCTGCACACTGTTAGACCTCTGCCTTACCACTACATACTTCAAATACAACGAAGGCTTTTACAGACAAAAACATGGCTGTGCCATGGGCTCCCCCGTGTCACCTATTGTAGCCAACCTTTACATGGAGGAAGTGGAAAGGAAGGCTCTTGGCTCTTTCAAAGGAAGAGTACCCAGCCACTGGTACAGATATGTGGACGACACCTGGGTCAAAATCAAAAGACGGACAGATGCAACAACATTGTCATCCCCTATGTAGCCGGTGTATCAGAGAAACTCAGGAGAGTTTTCTCCAAGCATGACATCCCGGTGCATTTCAGACCCAGCAACACGCTCAGACAAAAACTGGTTCACCCGAAAGACAAAACGCCAAAACACAGACTTAACAATGTGGTGTATGCTGTACAGTGCAGCGAGGAATGCCCAGACCTCTACATTGGAGAGACCAAACAGCCACTTCACAAGCGCATGGCACAACACAGAAGAGCCACCTCCACAGGACAAGACTCAGCGTCCATCTGCATCTTAAGGATAAAGGCACTCTTTCGAGGATGCCAATGTTCACATTTTGGACAGAGAGGACAGATGGTTTGAAAGAGGAGTGAAAGAAGCATCTATGTCCACTGTGAGCGACCATCTTTGAACAGAGGCGGGGGTTTACGACACCAACTCTCTGCCATCTATAATCCAGTTTTGAGATCCCTTCCCAGACGCCTTAACGCCCACTCACATCCTGGGCCATCTGACTCAGGAATTCGCATGATAAGGTGGGGCCAGGTTTCACAATGAACTCACCCGAAACTCTGGCTGATTGGGACCCACACCCAGTTTCACACCTTGGCTCAGGCGATTAGAGGATCATCAGGGGGTCCTTTTGTCCCTCTGTGGGGGGATACTCCCACTAGGTTTATATCTGGGACTCTCCACCATTTGACCTTAGAACTGAAGAAGCTTCTCGGATGAGAGGTGAAACGTCTTCAAGTAACTTAAAGAAGTCCAGACGCTTTTCTTTGCAAGCTCCTTTGACTACGATGACCTGGATGACTGAGAACCTTCACAGACATATGTATGAGAGAGCTTTAACCTGCGTTTGTGGATGGAATGGTGAACTGTGTTCACAGACAGTGATTTCTGGAAGTGTTCCTGAGCCCATGCTCATGTGATTTCCATGAAAGAATTGTTCCTCTTCTTAATGCATTGCTGCCTGGGGCCCCAAAAATCACAGACATCCAATATAAATTTTTGGCCTCGTCCCTTGTGTACAGATTTCTCTTGATTCACTGAATCTATTGGTGATATCCTGTACTGTAGCTGGTGAGATATTCAAAATCCAATATTAGTGGATTGCCGGGTACAGGTTCAAATTAAAGTTCTTGATTTTTAAAACAACTTGTTTTACAAACAGAAAGACTGATAAGTAAATTTTACAATTCTAGCACATTTTCAGTGTTTCCTTTGTGTCAAACAGTCTGTCAGTGTGGATTTTATTTTCCAAACAATAAGAATTTAAAATTTTAGAAAGTAAAAGTAAAGTTTAGCAGTAGTCAGTGCTTTATTATCTGCGCTTTAGCTGCACCTGTGTATGTCAGGTTAGCCGTGACTGAGAAATTTTAATCTCGTCACAAGTAAATAATTTACACTTTGAATGTGTGCAGTTTTAACCTTTTGAAATCACCTTTTTGAAAACAGCACTGAATCCACTGAATTCTGCCAGAGGAGCTGTGCAGCCTAAATAAATAAAGAGATACATGTGACCACCACTGGTCCACACCAGGAAGATAACAGTGATTTCTGTAAATGTATTTATCAAAACAGGGAACAAAGTTTAACATCACCTTCCACAGTAAATATATTTTTCGGTAAATTCTCCAGCACTCCTGTGAGTCCATCGTAGTTCTCAATTTTGAAGGCATTTCTATGTTTTGGCTCTGAAGCGATGGCCCTGAATTTATCCAGCTTAGCATCTCCGACCTGAAATCAGAATACTGCTTGAAAACATGAAATTCAAAGTCTGACATCAGCATGGGAAGTAAAAACTGGACTATGAACTGAAATCTGCTGAGCTGTTTGTGCTGAGACTGACACCATGATGCATTTCTACTTTAGTATGACTGTGTATCATCTAAATAACAGTGAATAAAACAGTCTAATACTATAAGAGTGTTTATGTGGCACAAAATTATCACATTTATTTGTCATTAACTGATAAATATGATTTTTCTGTTGGGACTGGTGTAACACATCACATCCTACCCCAATGACTAGACGAATTATATTTTTATCATCGTATCTTTTAATGATCCCATTCCTGTCTGTATCAGAGGGATCTCCATCTGTGATTAGAATCAGAACTTTGGTAACATCAGGAGAGGCGCCTGCAGCTGGGCTGTCAAAGATTTCATCTCTGAAACAAATGTGAAAGCAAAGCAACACTCAGAATAAACAACATTTAAAAATATGAATAAATGAACAAATACAGTGCTCATTATCTCACAGCTGTATTGATCCTGCTGCTTTTGACACAACTTACAACACAAACTCGAGGGCTCTGTGTGTGCTGGTGAGACTTTTTAAATGTTTGTCTTTCATAAGTTTATCGAGAGCACGTCCAGCTGCATAGTCATTGAAGTCAAACACTTTGTGGACTGTGGAGGAGAACTGAACTGCTGCAAACTGAAAAAACCCCCAATATGTTAGGTATATGACTGTGGTGGGGCGTGGCTTGCGGTGCCGTGCAGGTGCGTTTGCCTTCCCTGCACGGCACCGCAAGCCACGCCCTGCCATAATAACATCAGGTATAGTTGACATTATTTGGAATATGCTTTGAGTAATTTAATGAATAGTGTAATTACCTTTACTGACAACATCATGAGGTCAGTTATGTGCACAATGAAGTCTTTATTTTTGTTGAATTCAGCTTCGGTCATACTCGCTGATCCATCAAATAAAAAAACGACTTCCACAGACTTATTTGTTCGTTCTGGGGGGAAAATTTTGAACAATTTTAAAGAGAATGTAACCAGGAACATATAAAACTTTAAAAAACAGTTTTACCTTCAACAACAGAAGAAGAGGTTTGTTGAAGATTTGGGATCTGGTGACAGACAATATTCAGGTAGGAGTTGTCGGAACAGTTGCTGACTGCAGTTGTGCTGCAAACCTAAAACAAATTATAACTGAACTTAAATGTCCAACAATGGAAATATTTAGCAGTTACAGTACAGCTAAATGCAGAGCATAGCTCAAATCTATGGGAAATCCATCTGTGCTGCATAATCATAACAGAAGATACAACTTAAAATGTTGACTTTAGAATATTACATAGATTCAAATCAATTGTATTTTATTTATAAAGTGCCAAATTACAACAACAGTTGCCTCAATGTGCTTTATACTGTAAGGTAAAGATCTTACAATAAAAGAGAGAAAACCCCAACAATCAGATGACCCCTGTGAGCGAGCGCTTTGACGACAGTGGGAAGGAAAAACTCCCTTTGGATGAATGAGCATAATTAAAGTGATTACTCTGCATCCTGTGGAGAACATGACTTCAAGGCAAATCATTCAGCGCTTATTCAGAATTGTTCAATTTCATCAGCCTTTCTAAACCCTGATGTCACACTGCTAGAATCAATATTTACACCAATGAGATGATCACATAATGTTTCAATTACACAAAAAGTCTCACGCAGCATGACAGCATACACTCCAGGACCCCACAACCACAAATGGTGCTCACTAGTTCAGAAAATTGATAGAAGGATGTATAGAAATAAAAAGTAAAGCTATTTTTTTTATTTTATTGCTTTAAAAAAGTACTGAACTGTCACTCGAAAGAGCAGGTTGCCACAAACCAGTGAAAATTTGATTTTACTTCACAGAAATAAAATCAGTGCTGCTGGATTATAGATCAATAACTTATCTGGACATCAAATGTGTGGAGATTATGTGATTTTCTTTATTATTTTAAAGTCGTTACTTTATAATATTAAGTGACTGTTGTTGTGATTAGCTGCCATATAAATAAAACTGAATTGACCTGAGCTGAGTTGAAGTTAGATATTCACCTTTTTGAAAACAGCACTGAATCCACTGAATTCTGCCCGAGGAGCTGTGCAGCCTAAATAAATAAAGAGATACATGTGACCACCACTGGTCCACACCAGGAAGATAACAGTGATTTCTGTAAATGTATTTATCAAAACAGGGAACAAAGTTTAACATCACCTTCCACAGTAAATATATTTTTCGGTAAATTCTCCAGCACTCCTGTGAGTCCATCGTAGTTCTCAATTTTGAAGGCATTTCTATGTTTTGGCTCTGAAGCGATGGCCCTGAATTTATCCAGCCTAGCATGTCCGACCTGAAATCAGAATACTGCTTGAAAACATGAAATTCAAAGTCTGACATCAGCATGGGAAATAAAAACTGGACTAAGAACTGAAATCTGCTGAGCTGTTTGTGCTGAGACTGACACCATGATGCATTTCTACTTTAGTATGACTGTGTATCATCTAAATAACAGTGAATAAAACAGTCTAATACTATAAGAGTGTTTATGTGACACAAAATGATCACATTTATTTGTCATTTATTGATAAATATGATTTTTCTGTTGGGACTGGTGTAACACATCACATCCTACCCCAATGACTAGACGAATTATATTTTTATCATCGTATCTTTTAATGATCCCATTCCTGTCTGTATCAGAGGGATCTCCATCTGTGATTAGAATCAGAACTTTGGTAACATCAGGAGAGGCGCCTGCAGCTGGGCTGTCAAAGATTTCATCTCTGAAACAAATGTGAAAGCAAAGCAACACTCAGAATAAACAACATTTAAAAATATGAATAAATGAACAAATACAGTGCTCATTATCTCACAGCTGTATTGATCCTGCTGCTTTTGACACAACTTACAACACAAACTCGAGGGCTTTGTGTGTCATGGTGAGAGTTTTTAAATGTTTGTCTTTCATAAGTTTATCGAGAGCACGTCCAGCTGCATAGTCGTTGAAGTCAAACACTTTGTGGACTGTAAAAGAGAACTGAACTGCTGCAAACTGGAAACGGAACAAACAACAACAAAAATATACGTTACTACTTATACTCATTACTCATATAATATATAGTTTATATACATCAATATATAATGACCATTACTGGCGTGTCCCTAAGGCTGCCCATTATCTCCACAATGAAGTCTTTATTTTTCTTGAATTCTCTTTCGCTCATACTCGCTGATCCATCAAATAAAAAAACGACTTCCACAGACTTATTTGTTCGTTCTGGGGGAGAAAAGCATGAAAATATTTAGCCTGGAAGATGGGAACAGACATAAATATACCTCAAACAGTCCTACTAGATTTTCTGGTCTGATGAAACAAAGATTCATGTATAAGCATGAACATTATTTAATTAACAAATGCAATAATTATGATCTCACAGTTGTACTCAGCCACTGTTTCTAATGTAACTGAACTAGAATCAATCAGAGTGCTCTGTGTGTGTTGGTGAGTCACTTCCAGCTTCATAGTTGTCAAGTTCAAACATTTTGTTGACCACCACGGTCTGCTGGACACAGACAGTGCCTTTACCGCTAGAACCCGCCGCCCCCAATATTTTTTTTACCTTGGGTGGACGGTCCACGGCCGAGTTTCATCTTGTAACACACTTTGTTCAGAGACGAGTTCCCACTGTGTGGATGCACTGCACGTGGGCTGCAAACCTACATCAGGTTTTAAACGAGACAAAGAAGTATAATCTGAGATCATTTTTTTTATTTTGAATATTGTCAGAGGAAATGTTTTTTGAGTGTTTCTTACAGTGATTTGAGAGCGCATGGCGTCCTCAGATATCGACAGTCCAAATTGCCTGATGGGTACTTGCATGTGTTCGGGCCAAATTTCTGTGACAATAACATCAGATTAGTACCTTATATTAAAAATACAAATACACTACATCATTCTGCAATAGAAAAAACCCCGTCTCGCTCTGGGAATTAAAACTCATTTTACATTGTGGGACACATACAGCCCACTTTAATCTTAAGTGGACCAGACCAGGTGAACTGTAGTCTTTGCCGTGATCTAGATGATGTTTCTTGCAGTTTGCAGTTTCACATGGCCTTCATAGACATTGTGATGTCTAAATTGTGCCGATAATTAACAGCACTACTGATATGACAGTAAAACAGTAAAAGTATGAGAATTTATTCTGCCATGACTAATAAAAATATCAAGATTAGCTGTTTGGACAGGCTGATCCTAAATCCGTCCCTTTAAAGGGTACCTATTATAATTCAATTGAATTCAATTTTATTTATACAGTGCAAAATCACAACAACAGTTACCTCAAGGTGCTTTATATTGTAAGGTAGACCCTACAATAAACCTATTATACTTCTCCTTACTTTCTGCCATATATCCTGTTATAACTGTAGTTGCTAATATTAAACATGGGCAAAATAAAGTCTTAAAGGTTTGTGCATTCAATCCCTTCAGACTTCTCCACACTGAGTTTCAGCTTGATGTCATCCATGTACAGGAGGTGGCTGACAACTGTTCCATTCCGTAGCCAGTCTTGTTAATGATCTCACTGAGCGGATTCAGGCCTATACATATATGTGTATATAAAATGTGTATTCCCTTTCCATGGCTGTACATTAAAAGCATGCAGCCGTTTAAATGGCTGTACAGCAAACAAACCTGGTCCTCGTTGGGCATGTACCTGAGATTCTGGTTCTTGCCTCAAACGTCAGGCGGCGAAGCAAAAAATCCTTACTCAGCATAGATAGCAGTTTATGTCTGGCATGCACACCCAACATAATTGTTGAACTGATTAACTGTTAACTGCCTTTCTGCAGACTTTTGGACTTTGGCCATAAAACTCACAAATTCAATGACGGATGAAAGACTGGTGTGTGAGAAGTTATGGTGTAGGGTCGTATGTATCAGAAGTGGCAGATGAAAAGAAAGAATGAAGGATGAAAGGGTACCTGCAGGAGGAGGAGGGTCACTGGTGCTTCTTTCCTGTCTGTCTTTTGTGTGTTGTTTCTGTTTGTGTTTTAAGGCACTATCATTTGTTTTGCTTGCTCTCTATGTTTTATTTTTGCTGTAAATGTACTGTTCTGCTGTTCATATGTCACTGTTTAATAAACTCTGTTCAAAGAATTCCACTCATTTCCAGAGGACCTTTTTGAGTGATTTGATTTTAATTGGATCTGAAACGCTGGACCTCCACAGCGTTAGTGGGATAAGGTTATCATATTGGGTTCCAAATTTGTGACCCGACACACTTTGCTCTCAGCCTGCGGGTTTACTTGTTGTTCCTAGAGTATTTAAATGTAGAATGGGAGGCAGAGCCTTCAGTTTCCAGGCCCCTCTTCTGTGGAACCAGCTTCCAGTTTGGATTTGGAGGCACTAGCTCTACTTTTAAGATTAGGCTTAAAACTTTCCTTTTTTTAAAAAAAAGCATATAGTTAGGACTGGATCAGGTGACCCTGAATCCTCTTTTAGTTACACTGTAATAGGTCTAGACTGCTGGGGGGGATTCCCATGATGCACTGAGTGTTTCTTTTTCACTCACTGATATGTATTTATACACCTATTTGCATTAAATCATTAGTTAGGTCAAAGGGGTCATATGACTGTTGGAGTTTCTCTGTTTTCTGTGTAGTATTGTAGAGTCTTTACCTTACAATATAAAGTGCAGTGAGACAACTGTTATTGTGATTTGGTGCAATATGAAAGAAAAACAAAAAACAAAGCTGAATTTAAAATAAAATCTTGAATGTGACTCTGGAAACTGCAGCAGCTGCAGAGTAGGTGCTCATTCGGTTTGAGTGAGCTAACTCTTACAAATCCAGTTTAGTAATGGTTTCAAAACAGCTTTGTTTCATATACAACCTCCATACTGTGGCAGTAATTTTTAATGTCCTGATTAAACATGTCATTTGCATTTCAAAAACCGCATTAATGTACCTGGAACAATGATGCAGTTGTGGGTCAGGTTCAGATCAGATGTGCATGTCTCCTCATGTCCTAGCTGCTCTGGTGCAGTGACAAGTGTCCTGTGGACACAACAACACTCGTGATAATCACTAAAAAGAGAGTTTTTCTGACCTGTGCTCTCAGAATTTCTACAGTGGCTTGCAAAGGTATTCGGCCCCCTTGAACTTTCCCACATTTTGTCACATTACAGCCACAAACATGAATCAATTTTATTGGAATTCCACGTGAAAGACCAACACAAAGTGGTGCACACGTGAGAAGTGGAACGAAAATCAGACATGATTCCAAACATTTTTTACAAATAAATAACTGCAAAGTGGGGTGTGGTAATTATTCAGCCCCCTGAGTCAATACTTTGTAGAACCACCTTTTGCTGCAATTACAGCTGCCAGTCTTTTAGGGTCTGTCTCTACCAGCTTTGCACATCTAGAGACTGAAATCTTTGCCCATTCTTCTTTGCAAAACAGCTCCAGCTCAGTCAGATTAGATGGCAGCGTTTGTGAACAGCAGTTTTCAGATCTTGCCACAGATTCTCGATTGGATTTAGATCTGGACTTTGACTGGGCCATTCTAACACATGGATATGTTTTGTTTTAAACCATTCCATTGTTGCCCTGGCTTTATGTTTAGGGTCGTTGTCCTGCTGGAAGGTGAACCTCCGCCCCAGTCTCAAGTCTTTTGCAGACTCCAAGAGGTTTTCTTCCAAGATTGCCCTGTATTTGGCTCCATCCATCTTCCCATCAACTCTGACCAGCTTCCCTGTCCCTGCTGAAGAGAAGCCCCCCCAGAGCATGATGCTGCCACCACCATATTTGACAGTGGGGATGGTGTGTTCAGAGTGATGTGCAGTGTTAGTTTCCACACATAGCGTTTTGCATTTTGGCCAAAAAGTTCCATTTTGGTCTCATCTGACCAGAGCAGCTTCTTCCACATGTTTGCTGTGTCCCCCACATGGCTTGTGGCAAACTGCAAACGGGACTTCTTATGGTTTTCTGTTAACAATGGCTTTCTTCTTGCCACTCTTCCATAAAGGCCAACTTTGTGCAGTGCACGACTAATAGTTGTCCTATGGACAGATTCCCCCACCTGAGCTGTAGATCTCTGCAGCTCGTCCAGAGTCACCATGGGCCTCTTGGCTGCATTTCTGATCAGCGCTCTCCTTGTTCGGCCTGTGAGTTTAGGTGGACGGCCTTGTCTTGGTAGGTTTACAGTTGTGCCATACTCCTTCCATTTCTGAATGATGGCTTGAACAGTGCTCCGTGGGATGTTCAAGGCTTGGGAAATCTTTTTGTAGCCTAAGCCTGCTTTAAATTTCTCAATAACTTTATCCCTGACCTGTCTGGTGTGTTCTTTGGACTTCATGGTGTTGTTGCTCCCAATATTCTCTTAGACAACCTCTGAGGCCGTCACAGAGCAGCTGTATTTGTACTGACATTAGATTACACACAGGTGCACTCTATTTAGTCATTAGCACTCATCAGGCAATGTCTATGGGCAACTGACTGCACTCAGACCAAAGGGGGCTGAATAATTACGCACACCCCACTTTGCAGTTATTTATTTGTAAAAAATGTTTGGAATCATGTCTGATTTTCGTTCCACTTCTCACGTGTGCACCACTTTGTGTTGGTCTTTCACGTGGAATTCCAATAAAATTGATTCATGTTTGTGGCTGTAATGTGACAAAATGTGGAAAGTTCAAGGGGGCCGAATACTTTTGCAAGCCACTGTATGTCACTTTAACCTTTCAGTTGAATTTGAATTCATTTACTTGGGCAGTAGCAACAATACGGGCACCGTCTCTGAAAACGCCCCTGGACCACATTGACAACAACCACGAATACTCTCGGGGTCAATGAAAGTAGATATGCTGTGTGGGCGTTATTTATTTTTCCCTCGATCAGGACAAAGGTAATCTTTACTTTTACCCAAGTTTAAGACAGAAACTAGAGTTACATGACCTTTCATTTTATCTTTGCACTTTTGGGACATCAAACGTGCTCTGATCATCAAATCCCAGCTAAATTTTTCCCCTACTTTCTTTCCAGTCCATTTCCTGTCCCCATCCTCTATGAGAAACGTTAAATAAAAAGTTCTATTGTGCCTTCGTGAGATCTGATCAGACAGAAATAAGACAACAACAAAAAACATGCACTGATTTGCACAGAAAAGCTGTACACCACGTTAATGATGCAGATATGATTTAATATTTTGATACTTTGCATCTTTAGATTAGCTTTGATACTCACCCATTGTTCTTGTCAGACAGTAACTGAAGCACCTTGTTTTGGAAGAAATCTTTTTGTTCTGTAGTAAAGATGCGGGTGGCTGTCGTATCAATGTTGAAAGCCAGACATACGGAGGTGGCTGCAGCACGTCATAAAAAAAAAAAATCATGATTTCATCTTGTGTAAAACGTTTGGTTGGCAATGGTAACACACTGAATTTGAGATCATCGGTTTTAGAAAGTTACAGAAACGGTTCGACTGAGGCCGTAAATCAAAATTGGGACGATGTGGCGAGAGGGGGGTCCTGATACACAATACACATCTGATTAAGTGTACAAAGAAGCTCATGATAAAAACATACTACAAATACTGTGTTCTAATTTGAGCATCCAGAGGATCGGAGGATAAAGTGTGACACATTTTCCACAACATGATATAAGATGGTTAAAAAAATAAAGGCCATAGTATTCCTAACATTTCTCTCTGTTGTTGATTTTAGCATGTATCACCCACACAAAAGCTTTGTTTGTGCACAGGTCTGAACTTTAAACTGACACAGTTACAGTCGGCCGTTTTCTCTTTTACATTAAATCAGGCCAGATGCACACTGACTGGATCTTTCTACTTTAAAAACAGACATGAGATTCCTCTCAATCTTTTTATCCAACTCTTAAAAAGAAAATCAGTAAAGACATTTCTCCAAATGCTGAATTACGCCTTCAAACAGTCAAATTGAAAAGACAACTCTTTCCCCACACTCAGCTTCTTTTTTTGATATGATTTTGTAGAAATGTATTTGTTTAGATCTTACCAACAGCCACTGCGCAGATGAGCCAGACTAACTTCATCTTTTCTACTGGTCGTTTCCACAGAATGGTAGAAAATGATAAAGGCTAAGGAGGAGTCAGAAAACGAGGAGGGCCCACGCAGTTTGAATTAATTTTTGAGAGGAATCCTTCTACACATCACGTGCATGGCTTCAGTTTTGACTGAATTATGTATTGACAGAAATATACAGTTTAAATGTTATGAACTTGTTAACTTTGTGCACCACTTTGTGACTCCTGACTCAGAAAAGTTGAAATATAGGTATAAATAATTGTATATTGTTTGCTAAAATTCAGATTCTCACAGTTTTTAGGTCTTTTTGTTAATATTTTATGAATAATCACAAAGCATCCAACCACCGCAGAGTCATCAGAAAACTTCTGAAGATGGCAGGTCTCTGTGCAGTGGCTGAAGTCTGTGGTGTTAAGGGTGAAGAGGGAGAGGACAGTCCCTTGTGGTGCCCCTGTGTTGCTGATTACCTTGTCAGACACACACTGTGGTCACACATATTGTGGTCTTCCTGTCAGGTAATCAACAATCCAGGACACCAGAGAATTGTTGATTATATTTGACTAATCTCTGAGAAGTCCAGTTTCCTGCTTCAAATTTGGGTATATTAGTCTTATTTGTCTAATAAATGCCTAAATAAAAAAAAAAAAAATAAAAAAAAAATAGAATTCTTAGTTTTTCTAAAACATTTATTTTCTTGTTTTCACGAAGCCATCAACTTAAAAAAAAATTCCTTTCACTTTTACAGTTATCCTTCTGTCACTCGTCTCCACCCACTCCACCTTGCCTCTCTTGTTCACCGTGTGCTGCCTTGGATGGTGATGGCTACCTCTGTTTCTTGTGACTTGTTAACTTGCAGATGAAATGAAGCAGTGTAAGGCAGTGTAGTGCTTCCACTGTGAAACTGGGACGTCTCCTTTCTAAAGAGTTTGTTATATAAATAAATGTAGTCAAACACATGTATGAGATGAAGGACGCAGAAACATCAGTTTGGGGTGAAATTTTAATTACGGTCTGTGTTGCTATTACACAAATTTAATTTAATTCAATGCTTTGTCCTCGAATAAATATTTAATCATTCAACTGGCACAGGAGTGCGGAGGCTTTGGATATCCAGTAGTCGCTGGGTCGCTTGGAGGGAAGCATTACTGTCACCACAAAATTAGTTGAGTGACCTGAAGGGAGAGAGACATGAAGGGTGAGGAAACAATCTGAGCAAACATCCTTTTCTTTCTTTTTTTGACATTGTATGTTGGTAACAGGGACGTGCGCTGTATCCCACCAAAACTCCCAGCGATGCCCAAAAACTAGCTCTTGGCCTTATGATAGTATAAAATGTGTCATGACTTTAAATGTAAAAAGGTTTCCAGTGAGTGACTTTGGATACATCAGGTGTGTACCTGTGGTGGACAGAGTGCCAGCTCTGGCTGAGGTCTTGTACAGAGGAGCGTGGTAGAGGTCGGGCTCTGGGACGTAGTTCTGCTGTGGCTCAAAGTGCACCACCGGCAGCATGGTGTTCATAACCCGAGGCAGCGCATCATCCATCACCATGCCGACATCATCCCAGCGACAGGCATCCATGAACATACCGTGAACAAGTACACCATCCTGCGGCTCTGGTAACTGTTTTAACAAGTAACCATATTAAAGGAATTACCTTTTTATTTTACTTTAACTTTTTACTGACAAACTCTTGAAACAAAGTAAACACAAGACTTGCAAAGCCAGAAAATAAAACAAAGAACATGTGGCTTTGCTTTTATCAGATGTATCGAGAGCTTTTTATTCTTTAAGGATTTCATTTTCATGAACAGAGATTTAAAGAAGAGTTGACACGATGTTTGCTGCGGTTGATATTCACTATTTATGACGCTTAAGAGGGCATCAATCTGATATGTCATCAGGAAATAAACTCAGTATTTAAAAAAAGAAAACAATACTGGAGGCTGTACTGCCCTCCAGATTCACACCGGAGTCAAGTATAACACAACCTTACTAAAGAAATCAGTATGTAGTCCAATCAAAAATAATGGATAATAATGGATTTAATTTGATCATTTAGGATATATTTGCTCTGTGGTGCTAACTTTGAGATCACCAGATCAGATTTAGAGATTCAGGATAAAGTAATTTCACAAAAACATTAATCAATTAATACAAGAATTAAATACATATATCAAATGGGTCATGATTTGACCTATTTGATATATGTATTTATATCTAATTCACATTTTGCATTGACCATTTCAAATGCTTGCCCAAAAACAAAACAAGCTAGTGGTCATATTAATGATTAAAGGATTTATCTTCAGCCTGCTAGGTTTGTTTTGCTTCCAAGGACTCTAACTGAAATCATGCAAACACAAACACAATTGATAACATAACTGATTTTGTGTAAAAATGTAAGAAGAATTTTGAATAAAATATTGCACATAAAAACATTAACTGCAGTTAAGTAAGTTAAGTTGCACAAATATAAGGAGCAACAAACTTTAACTGTAGAGAAACCAAACTGATGTGATATTTTAGATTGCATCTTGAGATTGTTGATCTGCTCTTCCACATTAGCTCTCCTGCTATTAGCCAGAAAAATAGCATCTTAAAGTACTGCTAATATTTGAAGGGCTGGAGAAAAGAATATTTGTGCCCTTTTTTTAAAGCACTACTGAAAGCATAACTAAGAGTACTGCTCCTCTTACAGTACCTCCTCATCCATGTTCAGTTTTGCACCAATGGGAAGAGTGCGTAGAGCCTCACAGACTGCTTCCTCATCCCTGTACGCCGGCACCACGCTGAAGCGGAAATTAAGCTCGTCAATAGGCAAACTGTAACGCCGGGCATGATTCTGCAACACTCCTACAGGCCATCAAAGACACAAGAGCATTGAAATAAGTCACTGTGCTGTTTAGTAAAATCTACCAATAAACACAAATTTAATTAATAGCTCTCTTTTAAACTTCATTCATTTATTTTTACACTGTATACTTGAAAGAGTAGTCAGAGTGATCATTGTAATCCTCAAGCTCAGCTCTAAAACTGTGCTTTACTGTTGGCATTATTAAAAAACATAGAGCATGTTTCAGTGTGTTACCAGTAAGAAAGCCTTGAGGGAAGAAGAACCCTGAGATCCAAAATGATTTGGGCTGACCACGTGTGATCCAAGTCTTGCAAGAGAGGAAAAGAGAAGAAGAGATGCAATTAAAATATAAGTATCTTTAAATAACGATATCTTTGTTTATGCAGTATCTCCTTCTTTTATTCAATATAGTGCATTAAAGGCATCCTGTAAGTCAGGGGTGTCGAACTCCAGGCCTCGAGGGCCGGTGTCCTGCAGGTTTTAGATCGCACCCTGGGTCAACACACCTGAATCAAATAGTTAGTTCATTAGCAGGCATCTGGAGAACTTCAAGACATGTTGAGGAGGTAATTTAGCCATTTGAATCAGCTGTGTTGGATCAAGGACACATCTAAAACCTGCAGGACACCGGCCCTCGAGGCCTGGAGTTCAACACCTGTGCTGTAAGTGACCCAGTGAATCAGTTTACATTGGATTTTGTTTCCTAAGATAATCAGCATGTGGAGTGTGACTCAGTGTTTATCCACTGCTGTATAAACTAACAGGACTTTACCCTGTTTGTGCTTGTTTAAGTGAATTATAGTGACTGTACGATACATGTTCAGAGCAGACTTAAGAGCAGCTTAAATCAGAGAAAATGGACCAAACACTAAACCAGGATGTGCAGAGAGGCAGAAAGATGAACGCAGAATGTACATGTGTTATTACAGTTTTCCAAACTAATGAGATAACACACAAATCAAATGTATGCAAACGTACATATGCATGCACACAGACACACACACACACGTGCACACATGCACACACCCGAACCAATAAAACACAGCCAATATCCCAGACCTGAGCTAGAAAAGACTTCTATTCTAATCCAATGTATGTTAGCTTTATAAAGACACATTTCACACAAACTTCTATAATTCCTCTGGACTGAACTTGAAAACGTGTGTGTTTTTGTTAATATCTGTATGCAAACCTGGATAAAGGACGTTCTGAGAGTCAAGTCTCTGACCCAAGAAGACAGCGGTTTGAGGGAGGGGTAGGCAGAGTTTGCCCAGTGGGTGGGGACCTGGTCGTTCAGAAAGCTTGTGTAGATTCGATCCATTTCCTCTGACATCACAACAAGACCTGCTATTGCCTTTTGCAGAGTGATAAGAGACATCTACGAAAAAGAAAGTGAGAATAACACATCACAGTAACGACAGATTCCGAAAAATGTTATTTCTGAAACTAAACAGAACGCATATTTTTGATTGTTCAGGTTTTTTTCTATTTGAATGTTTCTCTAAGATCAAGTAAATAAACAACAATCCAAAGAAAACAACTCCTGAAGTGGTCATGAGATGATCTCCACCAATTAAATGTGTGTGGTTTTTACGTCACCCTGAGAACTTTAAGCAAGTTGTTGAATCGGTCTGCTTCTTGGGCCAAAACAGTTGTGAGGGAGTTCAGGTGCCCATTGGTGTCTTTGATAAACAGTGTGTCAATTGCTTCATCCATGTCCAGTCGCTCTGCACTCCAAAAGACAGACAAGTTCACAAAGAGACAAAAGACAACACAACCAATGAAAACATGGGGAAAAAGAGTGAGTGTAATAATGCAAAGTCTCAGCAGTAACTGAGATCTATGTGCAGGTGAATCTATGTGGGGTCAGCGTACCGGGCAGTTTGGCTAGAATCAGCTCGGCGAGCTCGCAGACTATGTCATCGTTACTCTTAGCTCCATGTTGTGCTGAAGAACGAGGATTAACATCCAGTATGGTATTGATCAGAGTTATAGTTTCTTGACGCTGCAGAGGCAAACACACACACACACACACACACTCATGTATTGATATTTTATCATAGCACTCCCAAAGCTCATAAACTGCATGAGAAACATAAGTTTAAATCACTAAAAGGAACACAAGCCACTTCTTATAATTGCTGTGAAGTGAAAAATTTAACAGATTTTGAAAAACTATGTATAAATAAGAAATTGCACAGTCATTTATATTTAAGAGAACAACTGGCAGTCTGGTATAAAATAGAGACAGAGACATTTGCTTGTAATGTACTGGTATTGTTACAGTATTGTTCCTCACCTGAAAAGCCAAGTTGGCATTCTCATGCATACCAAAGACCTCAGGATCATCAATGATCGGAAGATTCTCAATATACTTCTTATATTGTTCGAGTTCATCTGACTCTGGAGCGTAGTAAACACCTTACAAGGAGAAAACCATTAATTGAGATATATGCATAGCGTTCACTGTGCATACACGCGTGTACATACACATGTACACATACACACACATACATGTACACACACACACATATACATACAAAAGAGGGCAGAAAGAACAATACCTGAGGGGGAGTAGGTGTAGCCAGGCTGCAGAGTTTCTGGAGAAAAAAAGCCTTTGAGGATTGTCCTTAGGCACCGTTGGTCCCAGGCATCCGTCACTCTCCCTCCATACGTGATCTCACCTGAAGAGAAAAAAAAACACAGTAGGATTTGAGATATTTCATGGCTTTCTTTGTTTATGAATGCAGGAGATATTGCTTTTAAAGACCAGACCCTCTTCTAGTTTCAGTTGATCAAAATCTCACTCAGAATCAGAAAAATAAAAAAGTTATGGAAAAAACAGCAACAACTTTAAACTAAAAAATATGCATATAGTATATTTACATAGATATGTGTAATTCCCGTTCTTATACAGATAATTTTGAAAGAAGTTGGATCCAGGTCATTCAATTTAAAGATGAAATACTAAAAAGAGAAATCTATTACAGAACAGAAAACACAGGGGAAACAGCTCCGGAGCCGGAGCCTTACATTGCGGCTCTGCATGGTTTGGAAAGATAAATTATACCGGTAATTATTTAACTGAAGTGTATTTTATTTGAGTTAGTTCTTTTTTAAAATTTGTAGTTCTAAATTGGAAGATTATTGTGATCTTGAATAATAAAAATAAAGTTAGATTTTATTATTTTTTGTCGCTCAAAATAAGCGTCACACTCGCGGAAGCCGGTATACCCGCCGAAACGACGTGCATTTACCGAGACTTTCAGCCCCAGGTAGGCCAAGTATGGAGAAATGTAAGAAAAGAAAAATATCTGAAGAAAATACAACATTTAATGATGGCTGGGCAGATTCATTTGTATTTACTTCTGACGAGAGTGACCTACCGGATCCACATACGTATGTGAGCAGCTGTTCTCCACCATGAACTATGTTAAAAACAAACACCGCTCACGCCTCACAGACGACAGCTTACAGTCCTGCGTAAAGATGAAGTGACTTCGTACAGCCCCGATCGTACAGCAGACGCTGTGCGCGGAGGTTCAGGAGCAGAAGTCCGATTGTAAACACATCACGGCAGACCCGACGATGTTTACATGAACATGCTCTTCAGCATCTCTTTATTGACCACTTTTCACACACAGCCGGCTGTAGCTTTCCAGCTCACAGCCCGACACATACAAACAACAACACAACAGCAGAGAGAGCAAGCCGGTGAGGCGTGATTGCGGATGCCACTCAGGTACGTCTGCCTCTCCAGATATTTTGAAAATATTTATTTTAAATTTTTTAGGAGCATGGTGCTTTTTTTCCAATTATTTTTTAAATTCTGGTCAAGGCTCCGCTACACTCCGAAAGCCCAGAAGGCAATACAAGGATGACGGCTCATTGTTTTTGTTTGCTACATGGATAATTTAAGTTCAGCTTTTTAATTCATTTTAAAGACACCTTCAACTGGTTGACTTTCTTTTTAGTTATTATTTCATTACATAAATAAAATGTAATTTTCTCCATAGCACTTCATGGATTTCATAAGCAACACACTATAGTTGTTTATACAAAGCATTAAGGTAAAAAAACAACAATATACACGGTGTTATCTTCATTTTAGATGTCAAAAAGGTTGCTGACCGCTGGATTAAAGTGTCCTATTATTCTTCCCACACTTTTATTTTTATGAAACGGCTGCATGTTTAGGTTCAAGGACATGCAATCATGTTTGTTTTGTGAAAAGGCTTTCTATTAATATAAAATGTCAAAATACAAATAAGACATGCATTACATATGGGAAATAAGATGCTACACAAACAGTCCCTAACTTATTACCTTGTTGAATTTAGATACAAGAACATTTCTGTTGATATTTGCTTCCTACCAGTGATGTAGACCAGAGCATCCCAAGGGATGGTGCCATCTTTGCAGTACAGGTTGAGGTTGAGCAGAGCACATTCTCTGTCACTGTCATTGAATTCGTAGCGGATGTTCCAGCCCAGGGGACCAAACTTCTTCCGCTCCTAAACACGAGACACACAGGCAGAGAAGTACTGTACGACCACACACAAAGTAAAACACATCCAAGAAAACAAAGTAATAATGATGAGGCACTTTACATGTAAAATACTGAGAAAGAGTGTATGTAACCTGGATGATTGCATGGAAAAAGCAGATTCCAAAGACAATCTTCCTCCACTGGCGTCCCAAAATGTGGCGTTCAAAGAAACTGCTGGTGATCTCTGTGAAGGCTCGTCGCATGTTGGCTCGCAGGCCTCTAGGAGGCTCGTTAGTCACCTGGCAATGACATCAGAGAGACCTACTGAGAAGACTACCAGTAATCCTGAAAACCTTTTGGTTTAGCATCTCCTCCTTGCTGTTCAGGCTGTCTTCAAGTGCACATACAATCCCAACGACTCTTCAAGGTAACCAGTGTACCGTGTGACTCACTCTTCAAATTATCAGGTCATGGTCATGATGACGATAAATCAAGTGCTGGTAGTTAATGTACGTTTAATTGACGTCAAAGATTTCGACCCATATTTATGAAGGCAGTGCTTAACTAACGTTTATGCCACAGATACCCTAAATAACCAGTACTCGTAATTACCAAAGTCATTTTTATGTTTCACTCATGTTCAATCCACCAGTATGGACAAGTTCTTTTTTAAAAACAGTATTTTTAATCATCTATAGCTTTATTATACAGTATTACAGTGTTTGGGTCTCTGTGTGACTACCTTAACGGAGTTCTGGAGCACTGTAACAGGAAATACTTTGGTCGGCATGGAACTGAGAAACAAACGGAAGTTCTCATGGACTGATGTGTCTGCAGAGAAACAGATGAGAAAATTATTTGCATATTCATAAAAAAGAAAAGGCCTTAAAGGATACTTGTAAAAAGGTCCTGCAGTATTTTTTTATCAATAATACAAACACTTTGAAAAACCAAAGCATACAATATCACAGTTTACTCATTTCTGTTTCTCAGAGATTAGAAATGCACGTGTAAATTACAAATTATGTCTAATGACATTAGAAATATGAAGGAACTTGTTTAGATGTGTCCCTGAGCATTGCTGCTAACAATGTTCATCCCTTTATGACCACAGCGTACCCATTATCTAGTGGCTATAATGCGATCAACAAATCTGCAACAACTGTGTGACGCTATCATGTTAATGTGGACCAAAACCTCTGAGGAATGCTTTAAGCATTGTTGAGTCTGCACAATGAAGAACTAAAGTACGTTTTCTTGAAGGTCAAATGGGTTCCAACTGAGTACTAACAAAGTGTAACTAAACTGAAACTAAACTGCAGCCCAGCATCTCTTTCTTGGGTATCCCCATCCATAAACACTAAAATTACCACCACTGGGATTTCCCAGTTTGAAGCAAATGTTGTAATTATTCTAATTTAATACTATTTTTTTCATACAACCCTCATAAGCCTTAACTAATAAAAAATATGTCACAAATGTTAGGACAGAAGGCTGAAATAAACAGAAACTTTTGAGCTCAATTTAAAAATAGTACCAGGCTCAGTGAAAGTCTTAATGAGCTCCTCCATGGCTAACATCCAAGACACCGCCAGATGGCAGTTCTGCAAGAAGACCCAGTTGCCACTCGTTAGCGCTGAATGGATCATCTTCTCTGCTATAGGTCCCTGGCCTTGCCCCAGTGAGATAGCCTCGACCCTGAAAAACACAGAAAAATCACCATTTTGATGCCTTTATAAACTTTATTCATTCATTTGGGGCGACCGTGGCTCAGGGGGTTGGGAAGCGTATCTGTAACC